GGTGGGTGGGTAATAGGTGTTTATTAAACGCGGCCAGTAACACCAGCATTGAGCCCTGAAGAGCGTGCGAATGGAACGAAAGAGGCATTGGAACTCGCTGCGATCCTCTCGAGAGAGTGTCACCCCTTTCACCCTAGACTCATTTCACTCGAAACCACTCAAGATGTGATGTGACAGGGTGAGTTGAGGTGGAGGGCTCGTATCCCATCCCCGAGAGGACCAAAAACCAGGATAAATCATCATCGTATTCTCCAACGACTGGAGTATCGCTCAAAAATCGCTCACAAATCGCTAACAATTCACTGACAATTCCCTAAAAATCGCTGACACCCTCGACCGGGCCCTCTCAAGCTCCACTCAGCAGGAAAAAGCCCAGAGGTGCCTGAATTTTTAACAGTGAGATTGACAGAATTAACGAGGGTGAGTGGTTTGTGTTTGGTGGCACACGGTAGGCAGACATGGAATAGTCGATCGATTTGCCAGAGTGTGTGCGCGCCCTGGAGGGACGCAAAGCCTGGGTGAGTCTCTCCAACAATTTATTATCATATTTTCAACAATTGTTCGCTTGAGCACTCATTATCTGTCTCTGTCTGCTGCACAAGCTTTAACAAGATAGGGATAGATTAGAGCCCTTTTCCTTGCACCTGTTTGGCACTTGGAGAACGAGTGGGCAAGCGCAAACACCACGATGATGTCGCGTGAACGGCATCAACCCTCCTGGCAGTCACGTTTCCTCAGGCGTATTAGCGAATGGGGTAGCTCAAAAGTGGTGGGGGATTTATTGCACGAGTCGTGTCAATTACTATACGTTATTCAGAGATATTCAGCAAGTTCGACTTGGATGGAATGGAACAGAGGAAATTAGGCTCAATCAAAATTGGGAAACGTTAACTGTGACGGGATCGATGTGTCATGGTTGACTGACCTCGTTTGCACTTCGGTCAGGTCATGACGATCGACGTCACTGTGACGGGATTCAGGTCGACTGCGAAGGCTATTCAATATTTTCCGGTTTTTATCCCCATTCTTTCTGCAACGATCGATTCGCATGTCTTATCTCGGGCATCCACAACTCCTTTCATCTTTAGTTCTGTCTTTTTTTAAATTTATTTTTCTCCAGTTGGGGGAATGATTCGTGGATTTAATTCCATGACTTGGGGATTATTTGTTGGACATATCGGGTTCAATGCACCTCAAGTGAGCACATACATGGTGCGGTAATATGCTGATACGTGGGATTTACACTCTCGACGAATGGGGTTTTAAACCCATAGTCCGCTGCTGTGGCTTGGCTTGTATGTACACAAATAGCCATGTGTATATACTAGTTTGTATCTAAGAATAGGGTGAGGCTTATTAGCGGGGAGGCCTTTGTAAACTCACACGGGTAAAATACAAGCGTTCGTGCTGTTTTTACATTTCTCGGTGTTTGACATTCAACACGTTTGGAGGATTTGAGAAACGCCACGTGAGCAATTAAATTTTTTTCCTAATCGGTATTGGGTGATTTTTTTCGTATTCGATGGGGTTGGTATTCTAAAATAGAATAGATTTCACTGATTAATTTAAAATAGAATAGATTTTACAGGTGATTTGTCTGGTTTGCATCATGAGAGCTGGGACGTAAGTGTCGTCTTATCGAAAACGTCAGGATTATATCGAGTTATCACAAAGATGTCCTGTGATAAATGACAGCGATTACTCGTTAACGCGTACGGTAGGTAATCCCGTTGCTAGGCCGATCTCGAGGAGAATGGATTGAGCTGTTATGAAATGAATATAAAAGTATTTTTCACAGTTTTTCATCCATCCAATTTTTCGCTACCCCGCGGTATTTCCGGACTGAAGTGTCACGCCCTTCCAAGATTAAAAGATTGACGGTTTTAAAAAGGATTTTTAAAGGGATAAATTCCGGATTTCTTATGGTGGAAAAAACGTAATTATTAAAACATTGAAATTGACGTAGAGAAATAAATCCCCAGTCTCGTAATCCTGAATTTCCCCCGGGGATTCGGGTGACAGGACTGATGAGGTAAAGGGTATGAATTCAGAAATGTCTTTGACACATTGACATACGCGATTCGCATTATTCCGTTGACGACGAAAGCCCTCTGGCTCTTTGTGCTCACTTTGCACTGGAGAGTGACTTTTACAGGCAGTTTGTCATACGCAGCACTCTCAATGTCTTTTCGCAATAAAATGTCCACTAAAAATGCAACAAGCGTAAAAAGGAGAAGATATTCCTGCACATTTTGCATTGCACTCTCGAGACGTTAATGGAGATGCCCTTGGCTTTTAAATGATCTAATTCGCTTGTTGAAGCTGTCAAGAGGCATCCGCAGTTGAGCTTCTGCACGGAACAAATGTAGCGAATCGATTGAACTTTCTCTCTTTTTTTATAATTTTTCTTTTTTTTTTTAGATTTAAATAGAGTTAATATTGGAGAATGGCGTCAGGATTGCCGAGCGGTCATCAAAAGAAGCTTGGACCAGCGCCGATAGCATCTTTCGAGGATCTATCCGACGAAGTGGAAAACGTGAGTTTATGAGACGAACAAAAACACAAAAAAATCGACTCAGCGCTCTTCCCTGTATCAACGTTGTGGCAAAATAGATGTTTAACTGGATTTATTGAATGCACTAACAGAAATCCCGTGGTCTACATGCGAATTGTCAACATCGGGGATTAATTCAGAGCATAACAAAAATAGATAGACAATACTAGAACAAAAAAAAAAGCAAAAATCGATAAAGTGACTGTTGAGAGGTACATTTGTGCATTGAGGAAAAATGACTGTTTGAATTGTAATGCAGGGAGAATCGACGGCACGAATGCCGGGGATCGTGGAGGTGACCACCCCCGTTACACCTGGGAGTTCACTTAAGACACCTAGTACACCGAGGATTGACATCAGTCGGGCTAGCAGCTCTTCTCATCATGAGGACAGCAACAATTCGAGAGAGTCGTCACCTGAGAGGGAGTTACTCGCAGGTATCCCTATTTATCATTTTGATTTTTTATTTAGACATACCCAATCCTAATTCCAATTCCAATTCCAATTCCAATTGCAATTCCAATTCCAATTGCAATTATATTTTCAAGGCGATATCCTTAAGTATGATCTGTCCTCTTTTAGCCAAAATTCATAGTTTTTGACGAGTCTTTAAAACATATATTTAATTTATAAATTCAGGGGCTGATCCTCCCACTGGATGTAAGCTAACCCTGGGTTACAAAGAGGACGTGCAAGATCTGCGCTCCTCAACGGAAGAGCTCGACCTCCAAGATCCAGTTCACGCTCAAGACCTGAAGAGAGACGCGAAAAGAGCACGCCGAAGAAAAGAGGATGGAACCCAATCGGAATGTGGTGGTAGTTTAAAACAGGAAAGAGAGAGAAAAGACAGCAATTGCTCGGAGATAATTCTCCTGAACATAAGTGGTAGAACTTCACGATTGTCTTCCGTCGGTAGCCAAGGGTCTGGAGTCTCTGGTAAACTCTCAGTCGTTTCAGCCACGTCTTCCAGGTAATAACAATAGATAAATATGTACCCATTGAAAAACGATTGTCCCCTCCTGAGTGATACAATCAATGGTTGATGTAAGGTCGCCGAGTCCGCACAAGTGTCTGCTGGAGACGTCATTTTGTGGCAGCAAGCCAACATTGGCAGACAATCTTATTGAACCCTCCAAGCCAGAGACCGATGACCTGGAGAAGATTCTATTGAAACGCGAGGCTGACACGACAAAGGCACTTATTCCCGAGACCATAAAGGTGCCAATGGTCGGTGGTAATCTAAAGCCAGACCCACTGGACAAACCACGGAGGCGTGGACGAGAAGAGAGAAAGGAAATTTTTAAACGTGAAGTTGAAATAACTAAGAAAGTCCTGGAGAAGGTCAACATCGAGGTATAAATTCAACAAACTAGAACTTCAATTATTGCATTTATTTATAGATTAAAATAGAGTTGATTATCTGAGAGAGAGAAAGAGAAAAAAAAGTGTAGGAATAATCGATCTTGGCCTGGATTTAATCGTCACAGAGGAGATGAGTAGAATGTCGTATTGTTGAGTGGTACAATTCTTAGAAGACAAGTCCATAGATTAGCATATCAATAGTATTTTGTTGGTGACTGGATATTTATCGGAAATGATTTAGTTAAGGGGCATGTGACGAGTTCACGTTGATATAAATTAACAGAGTAAAAGTACAATTAATCTAAATTATCTTTGGTTTTGTAAATCACATTGGTATCTTCCATTTGTAGATGTGAGGGCGAATCCTTTCGACTACATTAGAACCCGAGGTTTGTAGAACCACAAAAGAAAAAAAAAACAAAAAAACAGGACAAAAGACAAAAACATTGATACGTGACTTCGTTTTGTACGTTATTGCATCTGACTGTTCTGCTCATGAATTTTTATTTCCCTGAATAGTTAATCAGGCACGTCATATCGTTCCCACTCCATCTCATCGTCCCCGTTACTCCCTCAGAATTCCTGTGTTAATTTTACACCTGTTGATACTCGAGTTCTCCACGTCACTTGAGGGAGAATCCAATTACTACCGATAAATTGACATTTCCCAGGTGCCAATAATAAGGAAGCCACCGCCCCATAAGGATCCTGATGAGCAATCCATTAGGTCCTGTCAGGAGGTACAGAAGCCTGCGACCCTAGATTTGAACGATAAACGGAAGAAAGTTCAGAATTTTAAGGATGTCGTGCAGACAACACCGAGTATTGGGAGTTTATCGGGGAGTCCCAAATTACCGAGGCATCAAAAAGTCAGGGAATTGGAAGGCTCGAGAACACCTAGTCCGTCATCAGTATCACGAAAGAGTAGTTTTGCTTCATTATTCAAGGTAAGGTGAATAAATTTAGAGTATTTTACGGAACTCTAATATTCTTGTTGAACTTGGGAAATTATCACCTAGGTAGCGATCGAAAAATATCATTTTTTAAAGTCCTAAGTCCTTGTCTCTCGGACTATTTATGAATTATTCTACTCTTGAGTACTAGATGATATTCGAATTTCGAAGTATTTATATTAATACTTACGAATTTTCGTATCGTAAGTCCTGGAGGGATTTACAGACTTTGATTTTTCTATCACAATTTCAATAGTACTTGGTACTTTGGTACTTAAAAAAATTACAAGCAGTGAATATTTACATATATACACTGTGAAAGTATAAAAAACATAGGATTCATTATTCCGAGATTTAATTGTTCTGTTTAAAAAATTAAAAATCAATATAAAATTTTTAGATACAGTCGAATCCCGTTATAGTCGCACCTCTCCTTGATTCATTTTTTCGCGTACCTTTCAGTTCACCGATTCTACTCCCTCCGGACTCTAAAATACAAACAAACTATTGTTTCGTTCAGTGAGGAATTGAATTTCATGGAAAATAAAGCCGAAAAATAAATTTCTTTCGTATTCGAATTTTCTATGAAAAAATTCAGTTCGCAGCGGGTATATAGTCCGATTATCCGAATTCGCTTCCCCTCCAGTCCCAAAATATTAAAGTACGATTACAAATTTGGAAGTTCAATATTCCATAATTTTTTAATCCTAAGAACAGAAAACGACTTGAAACTCGTAAATTTTCCAAGTGCCCGATTCCCCGGGATTTAATATTCGAACAAGTTTCAAGTACTAAGTCAAGGCTTTCGATTTATGTTTAAAGAAGTAAAAAGTTAACAGAGGAAATTAATATTTTTATTGGGCCAAATGTAATTTGAATAATGAATGAATTATCTTTAAATTTTCCAACGAATTTAAGAGTTTGTATTCCAGTTTCTAGGAACATCTGAAGAATACCTCATGAATCTTAAAACCAATTCCATTCACAGAGTAGAGCAGACGGCAGCGTCTTGAGCCCAGAGTCACCCACCCCAACCACAAAACCACGTCGCAGTATAACATCAAAAATAAGAGACACAACAGAAAGTTTACGAAGTCGTTCGAAATCGAGGGAACGAGTCTCAGTGGACAAGGGTTCAACGCAAAAAAACAAAAACGTATTCACATCGACATTGAGTTTATTCAAAAAACGAGAACGAAAGAAAAGTACAGACGACTTGGCAACTCCAGAGCACGACGCAGCATCTGGCAACACATCCCTAGATAGTATTGGACACGTGGAGTTTCGTTTCGAGGGAGACAGGCCCGGGAGAAACGAGGACTCAATCTTCATCAGCCTCCACGCAGACTCCAGGAACTACGAAGAAGCTCTCCCATCCGAGAGTGTCTCGATCCCCTTGGAGACGCCGACAAAACTACTGGACGAATACGATAACGAACCTAGAACAGGTAGTATCATAACAGAAGCATCGATCGAGCATCGTGCATCAGTGACGAGGATAAGAACAGAAGCGAGAATCGAGTCATCAGTGACGAGAGAAGACTCCCAAAGTCCCCTGCCCCAGAGTGCATCAAAGGACTCTGAAATATCGAAAACCTCCTCAAGAGATTCCAGAGCAAGTATTCAAACGGCAAAGCACATCGATGTACAGTCAAGACCAGCATCCAGTCATGAGCCAAAACCACCGGAGGATGTGAGAATCCCATCAAGTTCCTCTCGAGACTCGATCGAGCCACGAAAACCAGATATTCCAAAACCAAAACGAAAGAGTAAAGAGGTGAAGGAACTCGCCCAACCCATAGAGAAACCAGAGAGAACTCATCAGCTTGCTCAGCCTCCGAGAGAGCCAAAGAACCTAGAAGAGCCCTCACGACTCGAAGAGACTCTAAAGCCACTCGAAAGCCTGGTGAAAACTCCAAGTGTCGTCTCTGATTTGGATCACAACAGCTCTGAATCCGAACGAGACTCTGAGATCGATTTCATCAGGAACAAGGCTGCCAAACCGGTTGAAGAGTTGCCAGACGAGAGAAAAGGATTATTCAATGAAGAGAGCTTCGAGGAGGACCTCCCCTACGTGCCAACGACCCTGCCTCTAGAGAAAAGTGTTGCTGTACCAATGCTCCCCGTGAAACAACGTCTCCAAGAAGTGAAAACGATACCAATAGAGCGGCCAAGATCCACAACACCAATAAATCCAACTCTCCTCGATGAATTTGTCCTGCAAACAGCTCACGACGAGAAGAGAACTGATAGAATGAAGATATCATTACCCAGGGAAGACAGTTTCAAGCTCAAAAGCCCGAGAAAACACGTGACAAATACATTCAGTGAATTTGCTGGAAGAGTGGCACCTGATTCGAAACGAAGTGGAAAAACACCGAGTCCACCACCACCACTGCCTCCACGAGCCTCTGCCCCTCGTCCCAGCAACTGGATAAACTTCGAGGAGATACCCGAGAGGCGAAAAGCTCCCAAGCGAATCCAGACAATTCCCCGTGCTGAGGATGAGGCCAAAGGTTACAGTTATGTACAACCCGAGGAGTGCAGGTGTGAGTGTCACGAGGAATCGAGAAGAGCTTCCACGAGGGATCCAACAGCTGGTTCAAGTGCACCAGCTCCATCTGTCACTAGGACATCGTCGTGCAGCAGCAGTAATGGCGAGCGCAATTGCAATGGTGAAAATTGTAATGTACCAAGCAGCTCTGGTGATCGTGCCAGTATCGTCAGGTAAACCCACACTTGTACGATACTCTTCATTTTTATTCGGGTGGGACACCTCAGCTGTACACCATGATAACTCTGATGATTGGTAGAAGTCTCTTTCTTTACTTCCAGTGACAGCTCCTTGGAGTGCAGCTTGAGTATAGAGGAGACAGCTGGTACACAGGCACTACTTGGTACTGGAAAGCCATTCTCCATGGATCTTGATGTTGGCTCTAACAGATCGAGTATCATATCCCAGGAGGAGACTGACGACACCCCTCAGCCATAATCAATAGTGTTTTTATTTAATTCGAGTTTGTTCACATCATTGAGTACTATTGAGTACTATTGAGTACTTTGAGTGCTTTGAGTGCTTTCAGTTTGTTGTGCTCGTTGTCAGTGAAGCTGTGACAGTTTTTTGTGAAATGGTTCTCCTGGACAAGTGTGACACGGGCTGGAGACTTTGTGAACATTTAGTGTAACGAGTTTGACCTACATTAGTTATTGGGTTAGTAGAGTGAGAAAAAAAAATGAATTAAAGGACAAAAGTTTGGATGGGAGAATTGGGTCGACGTGGCTGGTAGCAACTGCAACGATTTAAACTCGATGAATGGCTACATCAGGAGGGAATCGATAGTGGTCGTTGGTTTTGCTTGGAAATTGTACACTCGGCTAATTTCGTAAGGGAGCTTATTTTTTCTCGGTTTAATTGTAGAGCACTGAATACATTTAATCGATTATTTGAAGCTTTTGGGGGGAGTTGGAACGGGAGATAATTGAGGAGTGAGCATGCTCGTGAATTTTAATTCATCATTCAACTAGCTGGTCTAAAATTGTTATTCATCGTAAAAAAACGGAGACCATCACTTTGAAATTAAGATTAATCTAAGCACGCGTACTGCGTCGAGCCTTTAGCAGGTCCAAATGGAATTTTTCTTGAAAGATATTGAGTATATGAAGTGAATACATAACAGTTGGTATTTAAGACTGCGATTACAATGCGATAGGGTCATCGACGCGAATTATAGAAGGAAAAATCAAATTAATGGTGAAATAACCTGAAATATTCTGGTAATAGAGTTACATCCTCTCGGTACTTCAATCATCACTACGATTATTCGTTACATCGCTCTCTCTCTGCTCAAGAAAATTTCTGGATTATTTTCCCTCGACTTTGATGAGATGAAAATTTAAAAAATCCTAGTCCATCCCTCGTTACCTCCTAGGCGTATTTTCTATTATGAGAGGACTCTATTGTGTTCAATCATACGGTTAAAGAGAAATATTTCGAGTGTGTGACTGCGTGAGGATTTTGCCATTTCGTGTGATCACGCGGTTTTAGAATTAAACGATATTCCCCCAATTACGATGAAATTATAATGAGAGAATTGCGCGCATTATACCGCTATTGATCCCATGACAATCACACGGCAATTGATCACAGAAAATATTACCACATTACGATTATATCACGCTATCAAATAGACGCATCTTCACACCAGATCTAAATGATAATTAAAATCCAGGAATAGATAATAGAAAAAAATTATCTTTCCCTTTATTTATAATTTGACATTTGATGTATTGAACGGAATAATCAACGACATAGTTTAAAAAAAGTATATGAATAATGGTGGGAAACTAAACGAAGACTGCAATTCAGAAATAGATAATCCAGAATAATAAAACTCTTCCCTGAAATGCCACTATATTATTCGCCATTATCGACCCGTGATCAAAATAACCCGTAATAAAAGATTTCGTGACAAATTACCCATGTGATCCATTATTTGGAAATCAATGGTCCTTGTGATGAAATTTGTGATCATTTGTCTTGTGATATCAATTCTCCGGGGAAATGGAATGAGGAGATGAATGTGGTAATCGCTACATTAGTATTTTTCTCCCAGTGAATTAAGCGTTGTATTAAATAGAGTGAAATTTATCTAGCTCTTTCTGGCCTTGTCACGCGGAGAAAACTCTCTTAGAGCTTGCGAGGTTTCATGAAATGCCAAGTTATCTCCTTGTATAATTTCCCTGAAGAAATGCAAGACGACAAATCCTCGGTGTCAACATGGGGATGAAAATTCTGTTGACAAATGGGATATGTCCTGGTGGAATAAAAGTCTTTTCACCTGCCTGTGGTTTCTCAAAATACGATGCTACACCGAGTATCAGACTTGTTGAACATTTTTAAATCGTACCTGTCGTCTTGCGACTTATCCCACAGTCCTGTTCGTTGTAACGAGCCAAAGGAATGGGAATAACAGAGTGGAAGCGTTAGATTATCTTGAAGAATTAAAAACCAGTCGACAGACTCGAAAGACATCCTAGTTAGTTCCACATTAGTGGATCATGTAATAAATTGAATGCTGTTTCATTGATTTACCCTTTTTTTTAGAATTTTGGTGTCTAGACAAGAAAGTGAAAGATTCAAAAAAAAACTATTATATATAAAATTTTAAAGAATATACCGATATATTATATGAATACCAATGCCTCAGGCTGTCGAATGCGCCTCGTTATGAAATAATTCTTGAAAGGAAATGAATACTGTAAACGTGAAAACGGGAGATAGACAAAACACTCACTCTGATCCTTGTTGAACGTTATTTTATATAAACCAATGTGAACACACTTTTTTTATCCTGTTTGATATCATTTTTTTTTTGTATTTTTTACTATCATTTGCTCTTTGCATTCCCTCAGGAATTTAAAAGAACGAGAATTTTCTCGCTGAACTCAAGTCTCTGATTCGTGCGTGTGAGCTCACGATGAAAATCGAATATTTATCGATTGAACAATCTATTGAGAAGTACGAATAAAATTTATTCAATTGACGGAGCTCATACCGATATGTTTACCGATTATTTTCAATAATTAAGATTATGAAAAACGGATGAAAAATATCTAAATGTTTCTAATGTTATGTAAATAAGACTCGGTTTATTAAAACCAAAGAATGAAGAGAGAATGATCACAGAAACAAGAACAAAGAACAGTGGAAATGATTGGTGAGAGAAATTTGTCGTGTGATGAAGAGAATTTTGGTTTCATTCGAACATCACATTCGAGAGACAAAAAAAATAAAATGTTTATGTGTTTTGAAATTTTCTCGTTCGCATCATTACTTTTTCCCCATCTCGTGAAATTAATGAATAAATTATTCAAGGCGGAACTGAACTTTTTTTTTAAGTAAATTTTATCATGAATTATCGATTGATTCGCAGCTGAGGAAAATAAACGATTTTTATATTTTCTCGCCATTGAAGATTTTATGATCATTCACAGAGTGAATACATTTGAAATCATCTGGTAACTGATAAAATAAGCGATAACAATGTTATATATGCAAAGATATTATTTATCTGATAATTTTACCTATATATTTTTCCACGCTCATTTATCTCTACTGAAATTACCACAATAAAACTACAAATAATAAATGATCATCCGTTAAATAATAGATGTTTCATTTATTTAAATAATTTTTCAATAAAATAATAAATATTCCTTACTTATTGGATGATCCGTTAAATAATAGATGTTTTATTTATTTTAATAATTTTTCAATAAAATAATAAATATTCCTTACTTATTGGACGATCATGTATTTATAAATGTTTTGATATAAAAAATGGAAAAGAGAAAATGGATAAGTGAATAAATGAATAAATAATTTATCGAGTTCATTCCGTGGAACTCTGAAACTCTGGGGATGAGGATTATCGGGAACATGGGGGATGAGGATCGAACCCAAAGGTGTCTCCTTTCTCGGTCTCCTGAGGGGGTGGTTCATCCCCATATTCGTCGAAATCTCGGGCTTCCCTCGAAATCCTCGGCTTTGGGGTAATACCTTCTTCTCTGGCGGTGAGATCACTGCCTACGTCTCGTAAAAATATTGTAGCCGCGGTTGTTGTTACTACAGTTGCGTTGTTGTCATTAATAGATTGCTGCAATATCAGAGAGTACAAATAAATAATAATATCAATATTATTCTCCCACGGGATTTGCGTTAATGTATCAATCACACGAGATTTCAACAAATTTTCAATATTATCCGCATACGTATGCCAATTTTTACTTAATATATAATTATTATTATTATTATCATTATATTGATATATTCTTGCATTAATAATAAGCAGGATTATTAATAATGATATTATTAATATATAATCATGTATTATTTAACGGATGATCATTTATTATTTGTAGTTTTAGTGATTAATTTGAATAGAAATAATTAATAATTATAATAACTATTATTATTATTGCTTTTATTTTTATTATTATCATTGCCACGATTTTAGTACTGCAGAATACATATCAAAATGGCGACGAAAAAATGGAGTACTTGTTCAATCGTTTCAACAAATTTTCAATATTATCCGCATACGTATGCCAATTTTTACTTAATATATAATAATTATTATTATTATCATTATATTGATATATTCTTGCATTAATAATAAGCAGGATTATTAATAATGATATTATTAATATATAATCATGTATTATTTAACGGATGATCATTTATTATTTGTAGTTTTAGTGATTAATTTGAATAGAAATAATTACTAATTATAATAACTATTATTATTATTGCTTTTATTTTTATTATTATCATTGCCACGATTTTAGTACTGCAGAATACATATCAAAATGGCGGCAAAAAAATGGAGTACTTGTTCAATCGTTTTAGGATGCCATTTTTTTTACGTGTGCCCTCATCAGATTATTACCGCAAAACGCGCCCCAAATGCGAGTGTAAATTAACAAATGTATAAATATATTATTTATTTAACAATATTACGTATTAATAAGAGACCTCAACGAGTGCTGTTTTTCGTAGCTAACGCGTTAAACAGAATTTTAAATGAAACTTGGAATAGATTATTATTAACAAATATGCTGATTTTACCCTTTTTTTTTAATTATGGCATTTCGACATTTTAGTTCTGCGGTCCCCTTGAAAATTTTCGAGATATCTATGCACCGGGGAGTGATCCAAGGACTCATCGTGAAAAATAAATCAGTGATAATTGGATTTGTGATTTTTACCTGCATGACATTGAGAAGAAACAGGAATGCCAGGAGTGTCAATGCACTCAAGGCTGCACTTCCACCTCCTCCTTTGCCGCCACCCTTTTTGTAATGCCTGGAGGCGTAATTAGTTAATTGATGATCCATTGAGTGAAATAAAAAAAACAACTGGTAATTGAAACGGTACAGAGATTATGTGAGAACGAAAGAAATTAATTGAGAGTGATTAGTTTTCTTTAGTGGATAACTCACCCATGTCCATGGGCCTTGTGGTCCCAAGAGCTTCCATGTCCTCCACGACCTACGTACCCACCATGCCACCGTTCAACTGGAGTGTACTGAGGTTTTCCAAAATTACCAAAACCTCCCCAATTCAGCAGAGCCTTCAATGTCATCTAGACCCCGTACAAAAAATTCAGAAACGATTGCAGTTCCACTCACAAAACAATTATCTTATAAATATGCAAGAATGGACTGTAATTACTCAACATTTGAGGATATAATCCTGATTTTTTAACATTTTTCCTTTGAAAAATCGGAATGATAATTAAATAAGAAGACAATTGGTCCCGATCTTTTTGTCAACTTTTTACAATTTTCCGTACTGTGAAATAATCCGTGATTTAACAAAAACAATTCTTCAAGAATAATAATTCGTGATGATTAAAATGATGAAACATTTTAGAATCTGCGAATTATTTCGCGAACTATTTACAAAAGGTACTTGGATAATCTTTGAAAATAAAGAGAACGAACCTCGGTATTTCCTGATATTATTCCTGAATCACCGAAGGACTCATCCACCAGGAAAATTGACAAGTGAAATGCGGAAAGTCTGAATATTTCGTAATTCTTCCCCAAGTACGAGGACTTTCCCAGGAGACGACTGGTAGTGAACTGGCAGTTTCATCATCCCAAAAACAATGTGTCACTGTTTCTTCACACGAAGAGGTATTTATCTATGGCTTGTTGAACACTCGAGGGCCGTGAATTTTCACAGGCACTTGCTCCAGTAAAATGAATCCATGTCCTTTGTGTTCTATTAAATATATAGCACGTCATGCGTAAGAAAAAGAGGACGATATCGCGTGAAATAAGAATTCGCGGTTCGCCATCCTCATTTTCATTTCCACAGAGTTCCTCCATCAATTACGTTAATTACAGCCTCATATTGGGAGGAAGAAGAATACCGACATAATCAGCAACAATTTTTATTCAATTATTTATTAAAATAAGTGGATACAGTCATACTACACGAACATACAACTTACTACTAAAGTATTCACGTGTGTCCTAACAAAAAAAAAATTTGCGATACTGTGAAATAAATATATACAGAAATAATAAAATTTAGGGTGTGTGAAGCGGAAACGTCCTGAGATGGCTAACGTATGAAATAAATAGCTGGGAGGGCATGACAAATCCTCAGAGTGTCAAAACTACTGTTTTAATGATGATTTTTTTCCATCTTTCCACTCGAGGGTGACAATTCTCTCTGCACCGATCCACATTTGAAGCCATCAGTTCTAAGCTCGTCTTCCTCCCATAAAAATTATCCTCCGAGTTCATACAAAAAACTAGCTACAGATTAATTAATACCACGCGAATCGGTGTCGAGACAAAATTAACGCTTCCAGATGTTTCAATGGAGTTGTAAAAAATTACGACAATTTTCTCATTCTGTCTCATGCACTCGCGCAATCATTTCACAGTAATAAATATAAATAAATATCGAATAGTTTATCGATTGGTCGAGGCTGAGTTGAACTAGTTAAACAGTTGCATTGAAATCCAACCAAGCCTCGAGAGTTTCTCAGTCTACGTCCATGTGAAATCCTTGAATTTTTCATCTTCTTGATCGATTAATTTGAATTTCGATTTGACGACCGATTATTCTTATTACAACTTCTCTTTAGGCAACGATAAGTTCGAATAAATATTTCTCTGCATCGTGGATGAGATTAATTTCGATATTCCTCGTGAAGTAGTGATAGGGCTCGTGATGCTCAAACTGCGTTACAATTTACGAAGAGAGTTCTGCAGTTTTCACCGCTGCGTCCTCGACGTGCAGCATCATACAGAGCCTCCAGGTGGACTCCACCCTGGCCTTGAAGGTACCAGCTGGCTGCGTATCTGAATTGAATAAACGAAAGAGAATTAATCCCCATAACTCAATCTCCAGTTTACGAAATCAGAAAATTCCGGGTTTATCTCATGATTCTGAACTCGAGTTTAAACATTTCTTGAGTTGTTAGAGCCTTTTTTTTTAATTGAGACTTACGATCCTAATTGACAGAAGAGTAAGGACGTTTTCGGGCTATCAGCTGCACACTCAGCACTGGCTTCACAGATGATACGTTCTGCACATCCACGTTGTTCATCATCCTCGTTCTTTCCACCATTGCTATATGCTTTCATCGATCGCATATATCCCTAAACAATCCACAAATTTTTCCAATTTATCAATAAAACTATGATTTTTCATCATATGCGTAACTCATAATGAATTCTCCAATTAATAATAATTAATTTTATCAGATTTACTGCCAATTTCTTCAGAAATTCTATATGAAACATGAAATAGAATGGTTTAATTACCTTGAGCATAATTATGGAAGCAACACCTGCCTCAGACACTGAATCGCGTTTTCCAAGAGAACGTGCGTTGAATGAGCGATGGGAGAAGGATGTCTTCAGGGCTTCCAACAGGTTCATGACAAGGTTGATGAACTTCTCGAGGGGTAAAGAAAAGTTGAATGTAACATTCACTAAGAGTACTTATAATCTAAGCAATAAATACACTGAGAAAAAAATTTAGTAACTGAAAAAAAAATTGTTTTGACACTAGGAAATCAAGTTAATGAATAGTCGCAAACACAGATGTGATTGCAACTGTTAAATATTGAATTAAATAAATTTGTTTACAACAACTAATTGAAATCTCGGAGTTCAATTCAATGAAAAAGATTATAAAAAATTTTTTAACTTCTCACTAGTCACAAAAAATAAATAGAATAGTAATAAATAATTCGGTTTTGAACAATTATTAATAATTATTAATAAAATTTCGGTCTCGATATTATGTAACTATAATTTATTTGTTATCATTCGGTATTTTGCAAGAGATAGTGAATTGACGCGAATCTATCAAAAGATTAAATTAATCAAATAACCACATAAACAAAATGTCTGATTGATTTACATCTAATTAAATAAAAATATCCGTTTTTAGCCGTAAACAAATTGGTTTACAACATTTTACTGAATTGTTCTCTCATTATAGATACGAGGATTGAGACAATATAGAGTACTTTTTACAAAAAACATTGAAATAGTTGAAAAATCAATTCTGCAAGCACAATGATAGTGTGAGGGAAACAGGATTATTACTAACCTCAGAAGCTTGTTTAGCCATTGTCGATACTTGGTCGGGATTTCTTCCCTGTCCCAGGAATGCCCCTAGCACCATGGTCAATACTTCCTAAACAACCCACACCAGGTGTTCTTTCTCATTCAATATATTTACAAATTTCATTCATTACCACCCAACCCGATGCAACTCACAATCTATCCACGAATTTTCCATTCCACCGATTTTTCTCCATTCTATAATAATTGCTAAGTTGCTTTCCGACTGATAATCATCTTTCTAGCTTACTGGAGGAAATAATATACAAGGGTATGAGGCGAGTCGTGTAGGGAAAGTTGCGACGGGTCGGCGTGACAGTTATAAACAATTAAAAAAAAAGATTTTCCTTCGGTAGTGGAAATTCATCTGTGATAGGAGCAAGCGATCGTGTGAGAGTAGTCTCGTCTTGTCACTGTGCAATATAGTATTTACATAAAACGAAAGCTCAATAAAAAACTAAAAGTGCAGTCTAGGTTCTATTGAAGATTGCATTATACAATTTTTACTTTTAGAGAAAAAATGACCTCACACTACAAAAATAATGTCTTGAGCTAAGAAAGTATGAGATTTAAAAACACTAGATCGAATTCGTTGCATGAAGTAATCCGAAACATTGAAATTACATTCCTGAAATTGTGAAGAATTCAAGGAATGAGGGGATGACGGATTTTTTTCAACTCTATGATTGAGAACAAGTGAAATTCCAGAAGAATTTTGTGAGAATTTTCCCTTGCATGGATTATTTGTATTCTTTTCGATATGAAAACCTCTAATTAATGATTTAATTAATCTGAGCTTTTCGGATATCTAATTTTAAAAAATTTGACTCACAAAATTAAATCCATTTTTTAATTAATGAAATATCCGAAAGATAATAATTTTGGCTCTATAAATTAGTTTTGTGACATTAAAAGTCGTATTTTTCTCTGAGTTAATGATTAGGACAGTTTTTCACGACCAGAAATTTGCGATGGAATAACTGAAGTTTTCAATTTGTAATCGTGACTTGTAATTGCTGGAAGGAGATTCTCTTACCTGCATGGGACTGCTCTGGGCATTATCGACTTTGTCGACGCCATCGGGCCCCTGGGGACCCCCAAGGATAACAGTGATAACCCGTAGACCCATGGCCAATAGATTAGACCATGGGCTGGTTGGTGCACCTCCGTCATCGATATCATTCTTGCTCGGGCTGGTGATCCCTGCAGTTGGACCGAGAAGCATCTGCATCAGCATACCCAGCATATTCGACCATGAAAAACTAGTTACTCCACCCTCCTGGAACGAAAGCCCTCATTAATCGTGGACCGAGACAAATTTTTGTGTTGGAAAACGAATTACAGCACGGCGAGAAATATTCAATAAAAATTATTATCAAATCAGTTAATTATTTTTTTACAATTCTCTAGCTATTCTCTCTAGCTAGTCATTCTAAATTTTTCAAATTTCATTGAATTTTCCGTGAAACTTGAAAGTTAATATATTTTTTACTCCTAAATCGAATTCAGTCACGAAGTCGGAAAGATTCCCCAGTCTAGTTATCCAGAGATATCTCTGAATCTAATAAAGACAGCAAAATTTTCCTTAAGATCTCTTTTACAGAAAGGGATGAGAGCTACAGAAAAGGTATTCACAAAAATTTCGTTATCTCCCCTCAATTCGGAGATATTCCTAGAGAATTTACTAATTATCTAAATCGTCTCGTTATCTTTGCAATTGAATTCAATAACATTTACTGGAAAATTCCTGGAGAATTGTTTAAAGGTTTACCTGAATTGAATTGGATCCAATATCGTCGATGTCATCAAGCCCAACTTTCTTCATGACATTGGGCTTCTCCGCGAATTTTCTTTCCTCCCTCACCTGGGGCGAGTGCTCTTCAGGGTTGTAAACCGGATGCTGGGGCAATGATGCAGCTTGCCCAATTGCAAGAGCAACCAAACACAGTGCTACAAATTTATTGTATTCCATTCTGCAACAAAAATAGTTAAACTCATCAATAATTAGCCTATAATTAACCAACTTGACCTTGAAAGAATTAATCCACGAATATGAAATGAGACATCAGTCTCACGTCATAAACTTTCTCCTTTTTTAATCTCCCCTGTGAGAGCAAACGCGTCAGTTGATTACTCATGTTCATGAAAACGAAAAAGTTGGAATGAGTGAAAATGGCCTAGTTGACTAAGTACTTTTAAACGATGACAGTAGCTTTTCTTTTTCTCTTTCTACACATCCTAAAAAATCAACTCGTTCATTCCCAACTCCTCTCGATTGGATCCAATTATTTTTCACCTGTCATAGAGGAATTCAGGTCAAGTGACGTGAAGGACCACCAGATAAAAATTCCTGAGATATTTAATAGAACTGTTTGACCGAGTCGATACGACCGGGTGAGTTCCACCTAGAATCATTCACTCGTGTTGGAAAACCTTGACCATGAAAGTGGGTCACTGTGGTTAAGGCCACGAAGTCGGTAATTCCACCACTGATGGTCTTGTTAGCCCACTTCCTATCGAGGGTACATTGAACTCGAATCTTTACCGTTACTCAAAAAGGGGGTCGTGACCCCCTTAAACCCTCTCCCTATTGATTTTTTTCACCCGATTTTCTTGTTATTGGAATTGTTTATTCATGGAGCTAGTGAGAAATCGCTATTTCTCGGTGAGGAAGTGGCTGACTAACGTGACTCTTGAAAAACGGTATTCTCGTCGATGGAAAAATATGTCGACTAGTTTCTAACTGTATACTAACACTTGGACAAACTCCGTCTACCTGTTTTGCAGGTTTTAGGGAGACACTTCTTGTCAAAATCGATGCTACCTGAGTGGTAATCCTAATGACCGTTTTCGAAAAATTCCAAAGTTCAAATTTCGGGGAAAATTCAACTCGATCAACAGAGAAAATCATCTAACTAACTAACGAATTAATTAGTAATTGATTAAAAGTTATTTCGTGTTCAGGCATTGATGTCTCCACAGTCTGCACAAAGAACTCACTTTTCTCAATTATTAAGTTGAGTAAGTCTGATTTTATTTAATACAATAATTGAATAATTGATCTCAATGACGGATCGTTGATTCGTTATTGATTATGAAATTAAATTGGACACACGTGGCATTCCGAATAAATAATATGTATGATTTAACTTTCGTACTCACTTTGTTAAGTGCAGGTAGATTTCCGTGACACTGACTCTGAGTTCTGAAGATGTTATTCGGTGAGGGGTCTTCTATATAGCCTGCAAGGAACCCTCTGCGTGGGGGTAAACCGTACGACCAATGATTGAATTGCTTTGGTAGTGTTTTCAGTGGAGCTGACCAATCCTCTCACCCAACTGGGGGTTACCATCGTGGGACCCCCCGGGTACCACTTAATACATTCTTCTTTTTCAATTTGATTTTGCAATCCCAACGGTTTTATATTTTTTCGTCACTCATTTTCCCCTACATTTCAAGGAGCTTCACTTGCAGATGTAATGAAAGTAGAGTAATCACATTGTCATTGCACTCATCTCCACTTAAAAATACCAATAAATGATTCAGTACACGGATACAATTGTTTACTCAATAATCAAATAAATAAATAATTTTCATTGCTGCTTCAACCCATCAGGAAATTTTTCCCAAATTTCCATATTTTTTGGTAGTTAGTTCAATGAGTTTGTTCGTTTATTATTCATCAATTTATGGTAACAATTGGTATTTTATTTTCGCAGGCAATAATATTTATAATTATTAGATTACATTTTACGATGTCAATTGAATAATGCACTCCATTATTTAATTGCAATCAAGATATTACGGATGAATAAACTGAATAACTTCACTTAGTTGGCGGGAATTTTTTAATTTGCTTGCGCTATGTAAAATTGTTTCACGGAACTAATTTTTTTTTTTGCTTAATGGAACGCGTGGCTGTTGGAAAAATCCCGTTGCGCCTTGGATCATTGATCAATAGAGCCATAAATTCATTTCACAAGTTATTGAAGTCATTGATAAGCTGCCTCACTTTTTTTAATATTAGTCCCCATTTTTCACGGACTACATATTTCCTGGGGATAATTTGGGCTTCACGTGGATTGAGGTACAACAAAAGCCCACATGTGCATGGAATTAAATAAATTCACCTCGATGTCAGTTGTCTATGAAAAATAAATAACAATTGCTTGGCATCTTTGAGGCAGTGTGGCTCACCGTTAACTTGGCTGTCACCTTAATTTAAGTTTAATGATCGCGATGGGGAACAAATTGCAGTGGAGCTACCTCGTTATTTCCATGTACATCCGTCTTAAGGCTATCTAAATACTTTTTTTTTTCGTTGAAATCATTTTTTTTTTCTTTCATTTTGCCCAACATCAGGCGCTACCACTCAATCCCGGTTTAATGCTGAGTTTCCGGTCATTTTACATTTTTGTGTAATTATTTTAATTTTTTGGTTTAATTCGCCAGTTAACTCTTCATTTTAGCGCTTTGCGTACACGGTTAAAATTTTATTTTATTTTATTTTATTGAAATTTCGGTCGCAATGTCATAAATTTTTAATAATGCGAAATTCATTTTTTTTATTTGAAAAAATGGGTTTTTCGTAGTAAACAATTACAGTTTTTAATGAAAACTGGAATTTTCGGACTTCTTGTTATAATTGAATATTTAGTTACATTTTGAATATTAAATATTAAATAAATTAAGAATTGTCTGAATTTACAATATTTTCTAAGTTTTTGTGGGGTGTGTGGATGTGAAAATAGAAAATTATTTAAATATTCATGAGATTTTAATTTTTCTTATCCGATATTTCACGTGTGATTTTCTACGAGTGTCTCATTAACAAATGAATGAAAAATAATTGTTCCAATGTTATAAAACATTGGAAAAAAACAATTAATTAATACATCACAACTGTCGTCCTTAAATAATTACTAAATAATCAATCAGACTCTGAAAAATATTTTCGCACAGTTACCGATCTCTACGATTGTACCAGATATTTCTGCGATTAAAAAAGATACATAAAAATTCCAACATTTTCAATTGTTATTAATAACAAGAAACTTAATAATTAATTAATAATTGCATGTCGCGAGATGTTATAAAAACTTTTCGTGACTTAGCTGACAGTTTTGATTCCCGCAATTAAAAAGGTAATTTCTGGTAATTTCCATCTTGAACGAGAGAAGGTGTGATAGTATAAAACAATAAATTAGTTGATGCAATAATTAAACCAATTACCATCACCAGTGTTGACCGACATCTGTTCATTATTTTCCCCCCCACAATGGATAACTGGGTCTACCCTATTATAATAGATGAGGGAAATTGTCCTCAAGGTCAGTTTAGCCGAGAAAAACTGAGTGTTTGTTGACTGAGAAAAGCCTCAGCCCATCATCTCTCCTCGCTTTACTTTCTTTTCCACCATCGCGTGTAAACAACAATGCCACAAGTATGGCATTCAGGACGTGCTGCAAACTTTCTTAGGATTATTCTCGAATATTCTCGAACCTCCTAGGTTAAAACCAACAGGAAAGAATGATACAGAAGAACCTGAAGAATTGCCCATGAAAAGTCGACCTTGAGTTGATTTCTGAAGGGCGACGACAACCAGACATTTTCATCTCTTCGTCTCCTTATAAAGGAATTTTCAAAGAGTTATTGCCGATATCTTCTCATTTTTTGAGTTTTTTACAAATTTCTGAGGAATCGTTGGTAAAAATGACAGGAAAAAATAAACCGTTTAAACTTTTGCAAAAAATCATAAACCTATGGAAATTTGTGAGTCGTTGAATAATAAAATAAAATCGAGAAACGGTATATTTCTGAATGCCAATCTAATCCGCGGTTTCTCCGGAATTTACGCGGAAATTTGATTGGATAAAATATTCTCGTTATTTTCAATTGGATTAAATGGAAAACAGTGAAGTACTTGATTTGTTAATTACAAGATTACAAATGCATTTTCTATTCTAAATTAATCTCAATGAATAAACTCATCTCGTATGTTAAATTTAAAGAGAGAAAGGAGATTACTTTTATTTTTGTCTAATTATAAAAAATGACAAGCATAATCAAAAATTTTATAATCTTTTTCCTTATCAACAAGTTTTTCCGCATCACACGACGCAATCCTGCGTAATTCTCCATCCCCATAAATCTGGGGAACGCAGCGATTTTTATCATCTCCACCATAAAAACTCGACCGGAAATACGTAATCATTCCGTTGGCACCAGTAATTTTCCCTTAGCTTCCAGGATAAATCAAGTACTCCTTCCGCGTCACCCTACGGCCCATGAAATTTCGCGGAGATTGTTCACAAAAAGCGCTTTTCATTTTTCGCGGCAAATTTCCCCGAGAAAACTCACAGGATGCGAAATTACCGCGGTAATTATTCTCCAGTTTCTTTTTTCGACAATTTTTTCTGATAAAATTATCCCGAACGGTCCCCACTACATGAAATCCCAAGCCCCACCTGCTGCATGCACTCAATTTATTAAAATATCTCCATCACCAAGTTACCAAACATTACGATCCCGTATAACCGATCATTAAAGTGCCAATGCACCAGGTATGCGGATTTAACTTAACGGGACATCTTCTCGTTTTCATAGTTTCAACTCAGCAATTATTATCTACAAGCTGAATCATTATCCATGTATTTAAGCGGAATGTTGAATAGCGCCTGACGCCATAAGAAAGAATATTTGAACACCCGAAGATCATTGTGCCATTAAATCGTGAATAACCGGTTGAAAAAGGTAAACAAAAAGGGATTTAAAAAAATAACACAAGCATGGATCCAGCTAATCACGTAATTGTTGAGTTGGAGTTGCAAAGCAAAACGCCTAGCTTGCAAAACTTCTTGCTGAAGCCATTGTTGGGGATTGAGGTGCAATATTTTTTTGCAACAACCTCATCATCATCGGTGATCAAGACGTTAGCACAATGGCGAATACCAGGAGTTTGTTTCCATTGGACTCCACCCTTGGATGCAATGCTCTCTCCATCATCCACTTAATGACAACTTCCTCTGGGATTTAGTGTCGTCCAGGCTTGTCAAGGGTGAAAGAACTGCGATTCATCATAACTGTTCCACTAGCGGGATGCCTCTGGTTTTCTTATTAACAGCATCCTGCTAATCGTTTGAAATACTCTCTTATCCTTGTTCATCAGGAGGGAATGCACAAGTGGAGTAGAATGTCAATAATCTTGGCTCACACGCTTCCACTGTTCTACCGATTTTAAAAATACATTTTTTTTCATCTTGGTCTGCTAAGGTGAATTGATGCAGTGGAGAATCAATCTACACGTGTTGTAACGGTAACAGGCAATCGGTGTTTATATTTACTTGTGTTGTAATGTCTGATGTATGGTACTGCTGACGACCTGATTACCCCAGGGCTGGTGCACTCTGTGACTTCTGCATTCCGTTGAGTCACTGGGTGAAAGGGGATGCCAACTTTCAGGTTTTTCAGGCACGATAACATCACCTTTGCCATTAATTCATCGATTGATTGATTGGAGATGTTGTTTCTGGGTTGCTGTGAATTATTGCATCAGGTTTGGGGTCGACGCTGCGCCTTCCTGATATTCAACCGGACTTTCCCCATTTCTCATTAAATCTGATGCTCTTTGTTGATGTGACTCCAGGAATTTACAGGTGATAAGGCAAACTCTTCGTTTCGTTGATTTTCATCTGGGGGCATATGTCCTTGCTGCTCTTTTCTATCGCTCAAGATTGTATTGGGAATCGACTAATGCAGGTGGACGATGTTACAGCTATTCGACACAGAAACACCGACATAGCGGGATCAGTACAACCCGATTTACATAACGATTCGCTCTGGACATGCAGTCCAAATCTGTTTTTATGAGACTATCATAATACATTACCAAATCGAATCATTTAGTCTCTCATTTAGTCTCTCCTGTGGTCAATCTCTCCCGAGGTAGACTAAATGAACAAGACAACTCAAATATTTTGGATTTTAATTAATTATAAAAGTCATAATTGAACATTTCAAAATTTAGGCCCTGAATTCAAATAGTTGGAAAAAATAATTAGCCCACGAAATTTTGAATAAATTATTTATATCTAAAATTGAACGGACACCCGAAGTATTTAATATTTATAATTTTACTGCTCATCAGGATTGTTTAACAATAGGATGGAACCGGTGAACCGTAAAGATCTCAAAGTTTGACCTCGATGTACTACAGCTCTGCAGCGAATCTTCGATTAAATAAAATCGATCTTTCAAATTTGTCATCATTCGGGTCCTCTCGTATCCGGTTCTCCTGGAAATCGTGGGTGGGACTATGACGCACGAAAAAAGAAAGTTCACCGGTAAGAATCCTATAAAATGATCCGTTTTTTATTTACAATTTAAATGATTCGTCTCGCACTTTCATCGGATTTTTCTCTCCTTGTTCTCTTTCTCGTTTGAAATTCAGGGAATCCTTCTGTATTCATCACTGGTGCATTCGAGTCATCGATGCATTAGCGTCTGCAGAATCGTTTGCCATCGGTTGATAAAAAAGAAATCGAAAGATCGAATAGTTGTCGATTGGTTTTGAGTGTTTCTGATGAATTTTTAATGTGACAGATGCCGCAACCTAGGACTCGGGATTTTATATGACTTGTCGAAGAATCCGCGAGGTCGATGGAGTTTGCAATTCGATCGCTTCCTCTTATTAAAAACCATGGTATCGATTTACCTCGAAATTGATAGACATCGAGCGATTTGACACGATATCCGCACTTCTAGGAATTCAGCTTATCATCGTGTTTCTTAATTAAATATTTTTGCACTGTTTTTTTTTTTTCGGTGAATTGTGAAAATTGTCTCGGGGAGATTGCGGGATTTATGGGGTAATTGCGATAATAGTTGAATCATGCACGTGCTGGCGCCAAATCGGTGCGATTGGGGCCAGGGGTGCATCGTACAAGGAATGATTAACAATTACGATATATTGACCGAGATTTCTTTTTCATTCATAACGAATTAAGTGAACTTCTGACGTTTTGAAGAATTGTGATTAATGGTTTGGGATTGAGTTATCAAGAGAATACTAGGGACTAATGGAATTTTGTTGTTATAATTCTATTTGATATCATTGTTAATAATTATAAATAGTATAATGTGGACGAAACAAACAACGCATACGGTTCATTGCACACATTTACACCGCGATGCTGATCGACCGAGAATAAATTTTAACGATTTTTGGCTCGTCTTCGTAGTGACTTCTCGGAAAATCTACAAACACATTTTGGCAAGACATCACACACTGAACTCGTTTGTAATACAATATTCTGTCAACCGATTGAAGTACCAATTTGTTTAAACTGGTGAAAATGGGAACGAATCATTGGGCTTCTGGTGATAAAAATCGTTTGTTATTTTTGAATTGAGTTGATTGAGCCTCAATGTGGGACCTGTAAACCTGTGACACAATTCCTCAGTTGAATTTTACGCAGGTGTGATTCGGGGAGTTTACATGGTCATCACCATTTCAATAGTCAGAGGAGTCTCGTTTATTCTACAAAGCCATATCTCCCTTTGAGAAAATCTATTGTTGTCACTGAGATCGAACGTCTCCCCCTTTTTTTTTTATTATTTTTCATAGAGTCAGCGAGGAAGAAATGTCTGACAAAGGCATTCCCCTGGCGATATACTTATTCCAGGTTCCCAAGATGTTTCGTGAAGGACTGGTCTTTAATACCGCCCACACTCTAGATGTTATCTGCTGAGCAAACACGCGACCCCGTGAAATGACGTTGGGGAAAATATCGGGATTCTCCTATTTGAGTTGTTCACGCTTCGATTCGAATATTCTTTCAATCCATTATGGTTCTACAATAGTTTCGTATTACAGGCAGTTCGACCTTCTCTCCACCTGAAATTTCCATAAAATTATCTGGGAAATCTATCGCCTCCTTTTCCTTAATCTCCAGGGAATTAACGCAGTGAGAAAAAAATTTGGTAAATTTAAAAAAAACCGCCTTTTCATACTAACAAATGAAATTAATAAATAGTCGCTGACACATGTCAGTAGCGAAGTCTTAAACTAGAAGTTCACATTTTCTCCAGATTAATTATTCCCACACATCTCCAGATTAAAGGAAAATATTGATATTTTTGTAATGCCCTTTTTTGTGGGACTCACTTTTCTCCACAAAAAATGTAATAACAAAAATATTGCTATCTCCCTTCACTAAAAACTGACGTTGATAAAAATGCACTTATCCTAATTTACCACATCCCAATAGATGTGTACTTGTAAGGGCTAAATATTGAATTGCATAAATTTGTTTAAAATAATTGATTGAAATATCGGAGATTGATTGTAATTTCATTTATGTGCAGGAAATAAAATTGGGGATTAGTATATTTTAGAAATATACCTGAGGATCCATTCAATTTCGAAACTCCATATTTTTTTATTGCAATAATAAAAAAAATGCATATAATAGAATTAAATAATTTATTTCTCAGTTTCGATTTTATATATCCGTCATTAAGGGTATCAATTAATTAAATTACGGGTATTAAGGGTATATTTATTTGTTTTACTACATATTTGTTAAGAAGCAATAAGAATATTTTCAATCTTGAATAAATATTTTATTATAATAAAATCCTTCTCCAGATTAACATATAAACATGAAAATTGTTCGTACGTAAATATTGATTGTACTTTTTGAAATTGAAATTAATGGAATAATATCAGAGTTAAGTCAGCGGTGAATTTTTTTCCCTGGTTTTCCAGAAAAATTATACCACAAGAATAATTCCACAGAGTAAATCGCATTGGCAATCACCCCGGAACCCCTGATATGAGAATGAATCACAGGAATTACGAGCTACAGTAGCTCCAATTCCGGGAACCTTCTGGATGATGAACGTCGCTATTACAGGTCCATACATTCGATTTCCTCAACTTCCTGAAGTTGACTTCCTAGAAATTTGCGGGTAAACTCCCTCCACGTCACTCACACACACTCGGCGAAGGTGCGCGAGGTGGAGGGCGGGAAATGTTCGCGCTCCTCGCGTCTCACTGTGAGTCACGCCAGTGCCACAGCCAAGGTCACCCATCCGCCCACCACCCACCACCCACCGTCCCCCCTAACATCCTTACTTCTTTTACATTTCTCGTTCAATTCTCTCATGCACCACAATTGCATAAGTTTTCCCAGAATATGAGAACGTGCGCGCGCTCACGTGCCACAAATCCTTCGATTCGATATATCGATTCATTCATTCATTCATTCAAACACTTTGTTTACTTCACAGTAGAAACTGGACCGACGACGGTAGCTCAGTGGCAAGGTGCGACCCTAGTATTCTGAATTCCCCGAAAGATTTTCGATTATTCAAGACCCATCAATCATTGATCTAGAATCCCGCACTGAAAGAAAAATCAACTAACTGAAATCAAAATAAATAATAAACCCTAATGGAAATGAATCAAGAAATAATTATAAGAATAACGCAGTGAATTGAATTTTACTTTATTTTATTATTAATATGACAGGAGGAAGTGACGTCTGTACTTTACGGACTGCTGGAGCAGACTAAATACCGGTCACAAAGACCAAAAGAATATTATCATCTATTAGCAAAGAACTCTCAGTTCATTCTCCTTATGAAGTCATTGTTTATGTTTATATTAACACTCCCGCGCTCTCCACTCCGATTCGTTTTTGTACCAATAATCTTAATGAGTAAAATATTCTCAATAATGAGTCATATAATCCAATAAACCCCTCTCTCTGTATATCAGAAATGACACTGCAAGTGGTGAACGAATTTACTTTTACTGAATTCAATTATTTCGTCAGAAAATGACTCGAACATTTCATATATAGAGACCTACTGCGCACTTCGTGCGCCGAATTTGAATTTGGCGGTTCGAGTTGATCAATGAGGAATTAGTCCTGCGCGTTTCGATATATTTCGACTCGGGCGAACTTCATTTTTGTGTTTCTACTTTAATAATAAGGAAAAATATCGCGAAGTGCGTGATTTTTTCTATTGCCTTTCTTCAAATTAAGAGATTCAATTTTCTCCAAAATAAAAAATTTTCTGGACTTTTCTTTCCTCAGAAATATTAAGATCTTATAATATTTCTTTATTTATTATTTCATGGCTTTTTATGGCTGTTAAAAATAATTATCATCATTATCATTTTTATTGTTATTATTAATATTACTTTTATTATTATTGAAGCATGAGTTCAAATTAGAATTTCAAGTATAATTTCCAGAGTGGAGTTCACCTACATACTTCCATGGGATCGATGATAGTGTAAGGTACCTCTAGAATTCATTCCCCGGTGAATAAACAAGCGGGCATTATTTTGCCGTGAAGAAATGCTGGTGTGTGTAGCCCGGTGAGTCATCTGCAGACAGGTATATAGGTTCTTGGGGAAAGGGAGGAGGTGAGGAGTAAACTGGCGCGAAAGTGCTTACCAAGTTGACAAGGTAGTGGGGTTTTGGCATGAGGAGACGTTTGGCATTCCTGGAGCAACCCCATGACTCACCCACCAGTCATCCCCCTATTCTACCTGTTACCACCTGTTGCATATGACCTCAATGCACAGTACTCCGTCCCTCAGTTCAAGAGGAAAAAATCACTCGATTGATTAAAGTTGAATTGAAAAAGATATCTCCCTTGGACTCTCCTCGTAGAGTCTTCATGGAATTGCTTCATGTCAGAGTGGAGTCGGGTTATGAAAATTTCATTCATTTTTTTTCATTTTAAGTCTCTACTCGGATGTTAGCCTTCTTTTCTGAAAAATGCAGCCGATGTTATAAATATTTTTTGATACACTGGTGGATTCATGAAGTAATTATTTGATAAGTTTCAGGTAGCCTAGGAGAAGGGGAATAATATTAAAAAATCATGAACTTATTGTTTGTGTGTGGGGTTAAGTGGGGAATCGGTAAGATCAGTATTTTCCCTACCTTGTCGACTGGTCGATAAGGTAGGAAGAATGTAACAGGTATCAATCCTTGAAATAAACCTGAAATGAAAAAATAAAATCCTTAATTTTATCTTATGCATGAGCAAAAGCTTTGAAATCTTTTTCTACTGTTGTCCTGTTCTTAAAATATTAAACAGTAACGTTGGCTGCAATTTTTCTTTTGATTTTTTCGTTTTTAAGGTGAAATGGTTGAATTATTGAAAAATATTATGGGTAATTCAATTTTTTTAATTTTTTATAACGTTTTGAGAATAGGTAATTTAATTGTGGGTTTATGGGAGCCACGAAAAACTCATGGAAAAATGTAAAAATAAAGGAGAAAATGCAGTCAAAGTCATGAAACCTTGGATACTTGTGGAATATCCATTATTAATTTTTGAGAAAAAAAATTGAATTAATCGCGAATGTTTTTTATAAGAAATCATTAATTAAAAATTCAAAAAATCATATTTCAGATGCAGAGCGCAAGTTGATCTGAATTTTCGTCAGAAATCTGCGAAAATTAATCGTTCGACAATTAATAAATTCTTCTGCTCTTGAACTGGTGTTTCAGAGATAATCTATCAATACTTTATCCCATCATTCCAATATTTCCATATTCAAAAAGTTGACATTTCACTTTATCTCTTCCAAGTTTTTTCCAAACCTCGGGATTCACTGGGGATTCCCCAGATACATCCAGGTCTTATCACACTTCCGGGAAATGAACAAACTATTTAATACATAAAATTCAATTTGATTCGACAGAAATATTCGCGTCAACTCGTTGGATCCACAGGAGTCATTAATTAAAATTCATATAAATTCATGTGAAAATATCTCCCGGAATATTTATATCCGCGTCAGTAAAAAACGATGACTCACATCATTGGTCATTAATTCGTCTTTCTTTTACAGGTGTGAGACTCTCGTTCCGAGAACCGTTCATTCACAAACCTCCAAGAACTTCCACGAAAATCTTCATTCACCTCCTCCCCGTAGTTTCATTAAAAAAAAAAAAAAAAACTAGGATGACTCCTGTATCTTTGTGTGCGTTTCTCTCTTTTCATGAAATTCCCGTAAATTCATTTCGCGATTTCTTATCGCCTTTTGTGAGACGCGTGAGTCACAATCTTGCCACTGGGTAGGGGATCGATTTCAGTAAAAAAAAAAAAACCAGGCACCAACGGACGTCGATCTTCCGGACGAGAAATCGCGATATCTTCGAGTGTTTCATGCGTTATTAGAGTGAGTCACATGCGACACGCAAAAAAAAAAAGAATGCACGAGATATTAATTCCACAATGACTTAATTAAAATCGGAATAAACCCCTCCCTTTTTATCCACTCAGATGGAAATGAATGATGATTGATGCGTCATCGATTGACATCTCGTAGTAAAAACATTTCCAGGTATTAAGGGGAATGAGTACAATGAGAATTGCGACTCAATGAATTTAATTATAAACTCGTGTACCGTGTAATACTTCATTATCGATTCTTACATGATTAAATCTCGATAAAAACAATGCGTTGCTTCCTCGGTGTCTCGAGGTAATCGCGTAAACATATTTTCGTACCCTACGGCCTTCAGGGTAATCATCGAGAGAAATAAAGAGACACTGATTGGGAAAAGAGACAGTCGACAGACTTATCAAGAGACTGGCGTGCCTCGGGTTGATAACAGACATGAAAAAAAAAATTCACTCCCATCCGCTGATAAATATCTCGCCGATTCAATATTTGTGGATTAGGCCCAATCACTCGGGGTTTCTGACGAAAATACGCGGGATAAGGAGTTCTTTTGGAAATACTTGAGACGATGATATAGCGGAATTTTATTGACTTTTTGGGAGTTGACGTCTATCAGATTCTTCAAAATGGTCAAGGACTTCGGTGGAGTTTACCGGTTCAATCCTTTTTCATCTGAAAGATATACTGTAATTATATTATTATTCAGAATTGTGGAATTCTCTAGTTGATTTATTTCAAACATTCACCAATTATTTACTGAATTCGTTTTTGGAACTACATGCCTGCACATTCAACTAATCAAATGATCGCGATTTTCGCGGGTTACAACCTCACGTCACCAACAATTTGTAAACAATTCATTTTTTGTTTCAAAAACGTTTTTTTCTAATTGATAAGAAATATTCTGACTGTTGAGAATCTGATGAGAAATAGATTTCATTCTAATAAATATCTAATTAACGTATCGATAAAACGAAAGAATTTTATCTATAAGAAAAAAACTCTACGCTTTAATAATTTTCGTTTTACATGAAATTTAATAATTTTATTTTAATAATTAATAATTATAAAATAATTTTCTCTTTAACAAAAGCTTTAATAATTTTCATTCAATTTACATAAAAATTTAATAATTTTCATGTAAAAATTGAAATGATCAATAACTAATGATAAATGAATCGATCTATTATTAATTAGATGAGAATTAATTAATCACATGAATAAATAAATTAATGCATGACATTGAATAAATAAATTAATGAATGACTTGACGAAAAAATGGTATTTTAATGTTAAATTGACGGAAATTCCCCAATGATTTATGGGTGGCAAAGAATTTCAGGGGAAATGCGATGAAATAATTACATAGGGTAATTGTTTTGTTCGTGGAATGGAGTCACATAGCATACGTCATACATATTGCCAAGTGTGTCGTCACTCGTTAGATCGCGTGAGCTCCGGATTCTCTTTTTCTCTCGGTTTTCCACGTGATGCGGATTCGCGTCTCTTTCGCGGTTACGTAGATAATACCCACCACGTCAGACCCAAGAGAAGCCCATTTATGACTCACGTCCGCTCCTCCACGTGTACTCGCATAAGACCGCCATTATTTTGCGTGCATCCCTGAGACCGCATTTTTTTCCTCGGGTTTTTTTTTTCACTCGGATTACTCAGAATTTTTACGAGATTAATGATGTTTTTAATACATCTTATCTCTAGTGACGATTATACACAATGTCCCAACGATTCCACTAATTTTCTTCTTCGTGACGCACGAATTATATTGTGACAATCATTTTTTATCGAAATTGCATTTGCGGCAGTTCAATTTATAGATTTTTTCTTATCAAACCTGTTTATGATTCTGGAGATCGATTCTGAGAAAGTTTCAGAATAACAGGTATGTTTGTTCGTTATCGGGTTGAGCCGCAATCCAATGGTTGTGCCGATTCATAAAATCGGAAGATATTTTTCCAAATAATTTTTTTCTCTCGGTGACGAAAAGGGGGGAAAACATTTGCAGAGATTAGATTAGCATTTGCGTAATGTCGGGTCCAGTGACGGGAGTTTCTGTTGATTTTATAGTTGTGCAATGGAGCTGTCCCAGGTGGCGACTTTCCCGTGCAAAATGCTAATGCGTCGACAAGTTCTGGTCAATGCGGATATGCCCCTTCTCTCAGCCAAAACGAATATCACTCGAGTTTTCAATGTTCGCATTGAGACTGATTCCATCAATTGATGTGATTTGCCACGGGTTTCACCCGACGAGATGGGAAAAAATTTTTTTTTTCGATCGCGAGTGTTTGTCGAGCTCTCGATCCGGTGGGCGTAAATCGCAACTGGAAAGTTGAGAATTGCTCGGCCATTCTATATCCAGCATTTAACTGTGTCCCCAAAAGTATCTGGTTGTTATGGAGAAAAAATCGTCAACAGGTTCGCCCGCGATTTTCATCTACGTCACGGGGGAATGACGACTCGGAAATATTCTGTGGAGATGATTTTCCACCGGTTTGTTATTGCGTGGGTGAAAAAGGGGCCTCGCCCACTTGATGATCTGTCGGTCTAGTCCCCGGAGTGTCTCACCAACTCCAGAACGCCGAATATAATCTTCCTCGGGCTGAATAGACTACGTTCGTCGAAATTTTTATTTTTTCTACTGGACACTGGAGAAAAAAATTTTCTATAGCCAAGAATATTTACTAGCCACAAGAAAATATAATTGGTATTAGTCTTATCGGAGTAATTACACAGTGATCGCCAGATTTACTGGTGGGAAGAACATATTCTTGGCAAAATTAATTTTTTTTTTGTTTGAATTCTAAATTATTTGGATCGGAAATCAATTTTGATTAACAACGGACAATGACTTTCTTATTTATCATGATAATTCAAGACGATTAGGTTTTTCATATTAAATTATAATTGACGTTTTAATGAAAGATTGGATTTTTATGGTCATAATGAAAATTTTAATCGATTGAAATCTTAATAGATTTTAAACTCCGGGAAATTAGTGTTTGAAAATTGATTAAATATTCAAATCAAGAATAATTAAATATTCCAAATGTAATTTTCCAACAATGTTTGTTAATTTGTTAATGTCCTCATTAACAAATCTATATTTGATTATACTAGAAAAACTAATTTCTGCTAAAAGAAATTACTCTAACCAAATGAATAAAACAAAATTGAGCTAAAATAAAACAGACCAAGAAACATGAAACGAATTATCGCATAACGTCCATTCACCTCTTCATCAACTATAAATTTAAAAAATCGAGTTTTAAATCAATTAATGTACCTAATTACCTTCGATCCGACAATCTCAATTAATGTGAATGATTAAAAAAAATATATTTACAACAAAAAATGCCATACGTCACATACAATTATGAGAAGATATATTTTTCCGTGAGGCTTCATTGATTTAGTTTTCAATAAATGATTCCATCCAACGGCACATAACCCCTTGATTGAGTAATATTAGTTGCTCGAGTGCCATGAGCCCTCATTAACTTTCTTCATGATCCTATAAATCGTTGACAGCTTCAATTAGCTCAAGCGACGGAAGCTATTCTCGCGGCGCATGAGTCGCTTCAATTCCGTGTTGTGCTTTATAGATTGACATTCTTCTCGGTTTATATCGACATTCTGAGATATGTGTTATACACGGTGAGTGGGCATTCGTGTTGGAATATTCACGATGTTCGCAGAATGGAATACTTCCCTGGCAAGCCAACATATCGTTTTCTGAGAGGTTCGCAACGGCCTAAATACTCGTGCCAGCTCCCTTCCTCGAAATCCCTCGAAAAATTCCCCCTCATCCCTCCCACCGAATTCTCAATTAACCAGGAAAATATCATTAATCCAGGGGTTTATTATTAAAGATCATAAGTAGTCTTAACTACTTTATATTTATCTGTGATGAGGGGGAAAAAATGGTCTTGAAACTCGGTCACCATTCGAGGGTAATACACAACATATATTAAGTCAGTGAGTAGCTGCGGCTATTGCGTAAGATTGCACTTCAAAGAGAACCGTCGTATGACTCAAAGTTGTGCCATCGCTGGTGAAGAATATTAAAGTCATCTAACGTGTGGTAAAGAGATAAGAAGACTTTCCCGATTGCAAATAAATATTAATGAAAATATTTGTTCTTTAGTGAAGGACATTGTTCTTATGCCAATCAGGTTGAAATCACTATTAAACTTATTTACTGTTTTCAGGTATTGCGTTAGAAATTATCATCACTTGGATAGTTGTAATTAATTCCGAGTAACACTGATGATTGAAGAGTATTAATAATTGATAAATCATTGTAAGGAAAATTTTCATTCGAATTGAGTGCGGATGGAACTGCAAAGAAATGGGGAAAATGCTGAAAATTATTTGTTATATAATAATAATTATACCACGCTTTAAATAAATTGCTGAAAATTTTTTAATAAGATCGTACGTTTGATAACGTAAAAATTAGATTTAATTTTGAGAATTACTTATTTCTATTTTATTCAATGCGGAATAGATTGCTGACAAAAATCGTTACAATTGTTTTTTAAGAGAAGATTTATTACATTTCCGGGAATGGTAATGTTGTAATGATATTGTTATTTAGACTTGGTGCACTTTCGGCTTTTCATTTCGGTTTTTAATTTTCGACCGTAAGACGGAATGATTTCTATTTGCGATGTGGTTTGTCTGATTGAAATGGGCGATCTGTTTTCTATCAAAACTTCTCTGAGTGTAACGAAAACAAGACTAAAATGAAGGAATCATTCATCACCTTGACATCATCAACCCGAGATTATATATTTCAACTGGTTTCATCTGAACATTGTAAAAATTTAAAGAAGAATGAATGCAGCGTTGGTGAGGACTCTGGAATGAGTCCTTGACTTTTCGCCTGCAAATCGTAAATTCCCCCGGCCACCGTAGACATTTTAACGTTCACGGGTATTCATAACACATGCACACCAACTGAGAAGACCATAATTTCAGTAACTTTACTCGCGGGTATCTGTCTCCCGAGGCGATTATACGCAGTTTATCAAGGGAGAGTAACGTTTCTTTTTTTTCCTCCACTAATTTAATTAATTTATAACTCATAACTCGAGAACAAAATATCCATAGAAGCATTTTATCCAGAGGGAGCCATTCGTTCACGAGTTTTACAGCTCGAAGATAATGCAAAAAATGTATATTTAATTTGCACGAGCTCTCTCAGCCTTCTCCACCCCTTTAACCCCAACTAGAAACGAGAATTCCATTAGATAATTAACGCGACAATTGTTCAGACACTAGTTGGGGCACGAGCAGAATTAAATACCATTTAATCTAAAAAAATTTTCAGCCCACATACTGAGCTGAATAATACTATATTCACATAATAATTATTATTTCCACAACTCGAGTTTTTTCAATTTTATTTCATAATATATATTTAAACATATGCAGCAGTTCCAATTTTGAAAAATTTATCCAAATATCTAGAACGGGGAGCAAACAGCGGATTTAAATAATTTTTTAGAATAATATTTATGTGTTACATGGAATAAAAATTATTTTTAACTTATTTATGGCGAAATAGATTGCTGAGAACAAGCGTTACAGTCTTTATAAAAAGACACTAAGAATACTTTACTCAATCTTGTGTAAGCTTTATGCACATCTTTCGGTTCAATCATCCTACGCAAAAAATGGGAATGCTCCGGCATATTTGATACATAGTGAAATATTGATAAATGAATTTCGGAGAAATCAGTGGAATCCCCGCAAAAATGTTCAGTAGCACTGCGATTTTATTGCTTTATGCAGATCTTTGTCGAGAGGATGGGCATGTAACAAAATGGCAATGTTTATGCTCAGGTAATGAAAAAGTATCCACTACTATGCATAATTCCTACATTAATTGATCATAACATACAGACCAAAGCATTTTTTCATATTGCTAAAACTCTGCATTGTTATGCATAAAATCTGCATAAGATTGTGTAAAGTACACGTACACAAAAAAAAATACTTGGAGCAACTATACTTTATCCTCGATCTTAGTATCTTGATAATTGTTACTAGAATCGTGAGAAAATAATTTATTTTTCATTGATATTAATCGACAATCGAATATACTAGGATCAACTATATAATATACTTGATTTAAATTTGTGTTGCGTGAACTACTCGAATGGTTTTAACAAAACAATGAAAAAAACGAGAAAAAATTATTAAAGGGCGCCAAAGAGCGATATTGTTTAAAAGGGATCTACCAAGTTTACAAAAAAATAATAAAAAATACGCAGCTTACCATTGCCCGTAAGAAGATTGAGTGACAGGTACATACAATAGTAAGCTATGTATTTTTTATTATTTTTTATCAAACTTGATAAATCCCTTTTAAATAATATCGATCTTTAGCGCCCTTCAATAACTTTTCCTTTCTTTTTTCATTATTTTTTCCTGTCCATTCAAGTGCTTCTCGCAACGCAAAATTGATCCCAAATCTTAATGTATTTTAGGCTAAAAAGATAAAATTTAAACAAAAGTCGACATTTGATAGATAGTCCACCCTGTCCTTAAGTTTTCTTTTCGCAGTGTTTTGTGTGGAGTATTTCCGTCTTTGACGTATAAAAAATGGAATGAATATATATGAGATGTTGCGGGTTAGGAGTGGTTACCGCAGAAATGTCTCCTTCATCTTGATTCCCTCGTTCTCGTCCCTTAGTGGTATTGAGCAAGTCAAATCTCCCGCCCGAGTAATTCACCAAAGTGAGCAAATGGGAGACAAAGAGTGGAAACAACTCACGCACTAGTTCGCGTGTGCCATTCTCTCAACTTCTTCCTCGTTTTTCGGTTTAACGAAGGCGAGGGACTCCTAAAATCAATACTCTGACCCCCGTCGGCTATTTCGCCCCTTCCGTTTCACTTTCACAACTCCTCGG